CACTGAAGCAAGTGAAGTTTCTTAATGCCAGCATTAGATGCCCTGCAATCTAATTTACATGAGAAAAGTAGCACCAAGATAAGATTTATCAAATCTAAAAAAAAAATATTTGTCATTAGAAGTCAAACAACATGTAACAAAGTTGGAATAAAGCACAGTTAGAGGCAGGAGAGTCTGACATCTCCCAGTGACCATTTGCCTTTTTTGCACAATGCAGCATCCGTCAAGTCTGGTCTAAGACGTGGTCAAAAGCCTGCACTAGCAGTAAGGAAATGGAGGATGGCTCACTGACACCACATCTCCTCACAGCTGGTTACTCACCTTCCCCACAAGCTGCACAATCTCTGCAAGGTCCTCTTCCTCCTGCAGGATCTCTTTGGCCTTTGTCCTGAGAGGGACAAACTCTGTAAAATGCTTGTCGTAGTACTCATCCAGGGCACGCGTGTATTTGCTGTAACTGATCAGCCAGTTGACAGAGGGGAAGTGCTTGCGTTGCGCCAGCTTCTTATCCAGGCCCCAGAAAACCTGTCAGAAGCCAGAAAGATCAACCAGTGTTCCAAATCAAAAGCAAACCAAAATAATTGAAGGCAATAAAATAAAATAAAAAAATACAGAAAGCAAGTTTGAGCAAATGCAATGTGGCAAAGGCTATAACAAATCTTTGTATCAGAGACAGAAAAAGAAAGCCTTCCCTATGTTAATTTAACTATAGCAGTGACTTTCAAATACACTTCTCTGTTTAAAAGATGCATCATTTTTTGCGTTCAGACTTATTCAGCTTGAGACTCCTCCTGAGGGACAATTAAGCCGTAACAAAGACAATGTCAGTACTGGAGTCTAATTAAGTGGAGCCCTGTCAGATATAACTCATTTTCCCAGAACAGGGCTGGGCAATCAGTTTTAAAATGTTCTTCTCCCAGTCAGCTGCTCTAAGGAGTTTTTCTTGGTTTCAGTGCACCTAAATAAGAGTGGTTCACTTTCCATCTCAGCCACTTTTGAAGTGCAGCTCAAAGGGCAGCAGTGAGGAAGCAGAGGGATATTCCTGAGCAGTCAGTGTTGGAAAGAATTGCTACCTTCTCTCCCTCTTCCAAAGGGATCTCAAACACCTCAGTTCAGAGATCATCTCATAAGGTTGCCTTTTACACTGCTGCAACATTTTCCAAAGCACCCTACAAAGCTGCTTCTGTCAAATCAAAGCCCACACACCCCAGGCAGTGGCACAAATGCACTGAAGCACAATCATTTCGAGTCTGACAAAGTGGACAGAAGAGCTGCAACATCATGGGGACGTACCTGAACGATGCCCAGAGTAGCAGATGTGACAGGATCAGAGAAGTCACCACCTGGGGGAGAGACACTGAGCAGGAAGAGATAAGGAAAAGTTATCAGAATTGCTTTCCCAGTTTAAACTGCAGTAGCGAACATATGACTGCACAGCTCTGTGATCACAGAAACCAGAAAAGTCAACACAATTTCAGGTAAGTAACAGATTGCAAGCTTCTACTGCAGAAAGTGTTTGACGCATACCCACACAGGTGCAATATCAAGCATACCATGAAATATAGTTGTATCAGTGACTGACTGACAGTATCAAGGTACTATTTCAGTCACTTTAGCTCCAGGTAGCAGCTCTGGCTTGGATTATCAAACCTATCTCAATTGGAGTAGATTCAGAAAGTGTGCTAATAGGACACTGTGAAACACAGTGCAATGACTATTTTACAGAAAACAATACCCCAATTTGAAATTATTTCAGGTATTCACCTATACAATAACCAGTTTGACTTCATTTGGGCTTGACACCCTAATACATGCCTTCCCAGAGATAAAAAGATAATCTTCCAACCTCAAAAGCACAATGCATTTGTGTATGTATGTTGTGGACAGCAGAACTAAGCAGAGCAAAGAATGGACTCTAGGTGTTCTTGCAGATGCTAGAGGGTCTCCTGAAAATGTGTCAGGGGAATATTCACTTTGCCCACAGTATGATATACAAATCAATATAGCCTAGAAGAATGTCTGGAGACCACATGCTTTCCACAGCCCATCACAGCTTGATAGCCTGAGATATACTGCTCCATGTAATTCTATTCTATTTAAGCAAGAGAATCAAGATTCATTATGCCCCCAGGTGCACACACTGCTTCTCTAACTGCCCCTTCTTTCCTGCTCTGAGCATGGTTTGACATACTTTTCAGTGACAGCTCTAACGGCATTCATCCCTAAGCCACTTGTTCCAATTGCTGCAAGTGACTGCGATTCCACACCTCACAGAACTACCTGTCCACATCCATTCTTTCTGCCCCACGCACAATTTAGCAGTAGTTCTGGGTGAACAGACTAAATATCTACCTACTCATTCACGTAATTTTAGCTCTGCAGCTGCACAGAGCAACAAGACCTTCTTTTTGTCTGAAAAATAGGTACTTTGACATACAAAAACACAGAGGAAGAACTGCAGCCAACGCAAAGCGAAGAAATGCGACACTCACGCTCCAACAATGCTGACGCTGCCTTCCCTTTCAGGATTTCCCAGACACTTCACTCTGCCAGCTCGCTCATAGAAAGAGGCTAGGCGGGCACCAAGGTAGGCTGGATAACCACTGTCTGCAAACACCGACACACCGAAATTGAGTCAAAGGCTCAGAGTTTAAAGGATGCATTTACGAGACTAGACTGAGAAAAGACTACTCACCAGCTGGCATTTCAGCCAGTCGCCCTGAAATTTCTCTGAGGGCCTCAGCCCATCGGGAAGTAGAGTCTGCCATCATACTGACATGGTAGCCCATGTCCCGGAAATACTCAGACAGGGTGATTCCTAGAAGAAAGACAACAGCATACTGCAGGATACAGTTGAGAAAGGAATTCTATGCTTGTATGTTGTCACTAAAATGCAAATAAGCCAGATTATTTAAGTTTACATTTTGATGGAAATAGGCACTGAAAGTTATTCTTTCTTCCCACTAGACCACGTCTTGCTGTCTTTCCCCCCCCCGCTTATTTCTTCTCATTCTCACCATTTTTTTTTATGAACCACTCTGGCTCATCTTACATTCCCATGTACTTCTTTGAAGAGACACGGCAATGTCACTGACGCTACTCTTTGCTTCACTGACACCACGAACAAAGCCTCCTCTTACTGTAAAATGTCTCCTTCCCTTTCAAACTACCAGAATACAACAGTGAGAAAAGTTCATGTTTTATCTTAATTATCTGACAACTTTTCACAAAAAAGAATTTGAAAAACCCCAAACCTCTAAGAGTCTGCAAAGGAAAGAAGACTAGCCTGCCAGCTCTGAGAGTACTATTCCTGCCCATTAAGTGGCTGTACTTGTCAGCAAAAAAGCTGTTCACAAACAAAAGAAATCTTACCAGTATAGATAGAGGCTTCTCTGGCAGCCACAGGCATGTTGGAGGTATTTGCTACCAGAGCTGTTCTCTTCATGATGCTTTCTACCTTGCCATCAACTTCCATTGTTAACTAAAATGCAAGAAAAGACAAGAAAAAAAAAGGTAACAGTAGCAAGGTTTTTTTGGGTTTTTTTTGTTGTTTGTTTTTTTTTTTTACTGTATTACTTGCCTTGTATCAGCTCTTCTCACAGCAAATCTACCAAGAGCAGAGACTAGATTTGAGATTTCAGGCTACTGTGCTGGTTTGCCTTCCAGACTGCACACAGCTTAACTCTTTAACATATATGCCTCAGCTTGATCTCATCTTCTGCAACTGGCAAATCCCTATTGATCCCATTCAAATGAGTAATAACAAATCCCCTGCATCAGGAAGTACATTATCCTCTCTCAGCTTACTAGGCTGGAAAAGCCAAAAAATCTTAGCCTCTTGTCATAAGTCCATTTGGAATCAGAGAGGTTTTTGTTTTCCCCTCCCCCATCTACACTGATCCAAGTTCATCTTTGACAACTGCACATAAAACCACATATATAACCCCAGTGAATCCTCACCAGCACCTGCACAACAGAACGCATATCCTGACATTTGTGTAGAATTCCACTTACGAATACCCCGTGATTTACCTTTTTCACAGCCACCTCAGCTTGACTTTCTCATCTGGTAATCAATTGACACACCCAAGCCTTTTACCCCTTATTTCTGACAGTGAAGTTTCAACCTAACAGTTCAGACTGTCTGACCTCTTTCCCATATTTTACGAAAGACTGTGCCACAACTAATTCACTAACATATAACAACAGGTAGAAGGACTGGTAAACCTGTTGCTTTTTTTTTTTTCCCCTGGGTAAACCAGGCATTTTCTACTTCCTTCAGAAGGTATTCCAAAGCCTAGCATGCCAAACTAGTATCTGGTAACTGTTTGTATCACTACCCCGCACCCTGTGAATACAGATGCTGCATTTGCTATGCATGGGTAAGTTAGAAAAGTTAGACACATTAGCAGTGAAAGGCAAGGTGCTTATAACTGTGCTAAATTACACTTTAGCATTCATTTTGGCTTTATTTTAAACAAGTTAGAAGGTACACCCAAAAACTAGTCCAGTTTATTGGGGGGCCACTGAAATAATTCTTGAATGAGCCAAAAGGGATTTCTGCTACTACAACCAGAACTTAGAGCAGGAAGGCAAGAAGATCATGTCAAGTCACTCTATCAATATGAGTGATATCAATATTTTACTCAGTTACAATACCAGTACAATAGCAAGTCTTCCCAAGAAAGTTTAATCTCCATGAATTCTCCATACTAACCTCCGGGAAATCTCTCAGTACTTCAGACATTTCATTTCCTCGTTCTCCACAGCCTACATAAATGATGACATCACTGTTGGAGTACTTCGAGAGAGACTGTGAGATCACAGTCTTCCCACAACCAAACGCCCCGGGAATCGCTGTTGTACCCCCTTGTACACACCTGAGTAACAAAAAAGGACTCCAGTTTGCAAGGAACTCAAAACCAGCTCTCTCCCATCTTAGAATATGTTTTCCAATAATACCCCCTAATTGAAAGCAGAGCAATGGGAGTCACATTCAGAGTTATGGGTGAGAAGCACAGAGGTATTTCACTAAACCAAAAGACTGAGGGAGTAAACTATCCTTTTCTTCTACTGCCCTTGAAGTACATGAGTTATGCTGGTACAACAGCTAGACTTTCAGGCTTGAAACATAGCAGTTTTCACAGCTGGTAGCACCGATGGAATGCAAAAGCTAAGAAAAGACCACTTGTACTTAGCTGTACATTATAAGAATAGGCAGCACAGTATTTTAGGACCAAAATTACCAAATTCAGTCTCTTGGAAGCTAGCTGCTTAAATGAACATTTTGTGTTACAGTTAAGTGCAACAGTTTTCATAAGCAGTGGCCCCAAAATCACTGGGAACTATACATCCTCAAGACCATGGAAAGAGATCCTAACTTATGCATTCAAATGGACGTATCAAGCATGAAAGTTCTAGCCTTTCTGTAGATTTGGCATGATTATGTTAGGTTTATGCTTGTCCATTCTTTTCTAGATTAATGCACTACAGCTATCTTGTGAAACTTATCTTCCTTTTTCCACTAGTAGGTTCTCCTGCCAAATACAGAAATATGAGGAATTCAGCTATATATTTTTTGAGATTATGCTGTGATACATAGTGAGAGCTTGGTGTCTTAAAAAAAAAAAAAAAATATTAAGGCCTCCTCCCTCTGCTTCCCCCAAAAGAGAGATTTCTTACATAATAGAAAATAAAAGGTAATACTTACGGGAAGAGGGCATCCAGGACCCGCTGGCCAGTTAATAAAGGATGATTGGCTGGCAACTTCTCAGTTACAGGACGGACTTGACGTACAGGCCAGACCTGGACCATAGTGAACTTCTCCTTCACACCTTCAAACTCCAGCTCTAAGACAACATCCTAACAGACAGCACCAGGCATCTGAAGTAAGCAAACAGCTGCACACTGGACCAGCACGCAAATTCTCATCTCAACTAACTACTCAGCACAGCTAGGTCTTTGTTACCACCACAGATTTCTCAGAATCTTAATACACTCTCATCCCCTCCCAAAGGAAGGCTCTTTCCTATATTTACAATACTACTGGAGAAAAAAGTGCAAGATGAAGCTTCAACTAAAAATATGCTTTTGAAGAACAACTGGATTTTATATATTCATAAGATACTGTAGCTCCCCACAGAGGTCAGCAAACACAGCATACTGAAGTGCCATTGGGAAGCCATATACATAGAAAGTAACTGCACAAGAGAATCATGTAATCCCTGCAGGCAGGGTAGTAGAAGTGTTCATGAACCCAAACTGCTGTGTGAAACACACTTTAGTTGGCATCATGCAGAATAGAAGAGTACATCAACCTCATGAAAGAGACATGGAATATAACAGCAACTGCTGTTTGGGAGACTTACTGAAGTGTCATAGTTTCCCGGTGGAGCAATGTATGTAACTGTACCCCTGTTCCGTGGGGGCAGCATGATTTTGTGTTTGATAAGAGAGTTTTCATTCACCACACCATAAATATCTCCACCAGTGATGTGGCTGCCAACCTAAAATCAGAACAGGTCTATTAGTCATAAGTGAGAATTCCAGTTTTAAAAAAAAAAAGAACCTTGACAAAGAACTGTGTAAAATAACTACAGCTATTAAGTCTAGCACTGTGATTACTCCCTTTGTAAATGCGTTACAGCACAGGAGCCCATTTACATAACTCATTACACTAACAGCACATTGCTAGCAACACTATCTGGGATCAGGCGCCTTTCAAGGCACAGACAGTAGCAGTTACTGACTGATGCAAGGAATTTTCCTTGTTTCTTTTATACCTCTCAGTTTAACATGTTAAGCAGACAAAAGATAGCATATGTTAACCTGTAGGGTTGGAAAGAAGAAGATGCCAAGGGCTAAAGCAGTGACATTTTCCAGCTCGGAGGCTATGCTCACTATTCATGAAATGTGTGCTGCAGTTACTCTTTTTGCTCAGGTAACACCTGCTTCTGCTAATGCTTAGCCCAATTCCGCTAAGTTCTTTACAGTTTTGTAAATACATTAAAACTTTGCAAGTTTCTCATATGCAGCAGCAACACAGAGTAAGTCATGCTGAGTAAGTTTTGGTGATCCCCATCCAGTCTCACATCGCTACCACCTCCTAGCACCCCTTTTCACAAAGGTAATACAGCATTAACCATAGCTCCCAGCAGTCATAGCCTTGGCACTCTGCTCCAGCCCTAAGCTCTGGGGTTAGAGGAGCAAGAGGGGAAGACAGGCTTGCCAGAACCTACCCGCAGATTTTTGGAAGGCGTGAAGTCCCATTTGATGTCTCGGCTCAAAGCTGACACATTGACACCTCTAGGGATATAGATACTTTTGGTCAGAGTGCTGATGTCTGAGAGAGGCCTCTGGATACCATCAAAAATAGCTCCCATAATGCCAGGTCCTAGTTCCACTGACAGGGGTTTGCCAGTACGGAGTACAGGATCTCCTACAGAGACGCCAGCTAAAGATTTGCTGAGGAAAAGTTTATCCAGAGAAAGGGAAAGAAACGGGGCAGAAGGCATCACCTTTACAACATCGTACTCTTAAACCACTCGACTTTAGGGTAATATTTTTATTACTGTATTACACATCATCATTTGAGAAGCATGTATGCTTTTATACTAAGCTCAAACTGAAATTTCTACAGCAACAAAGTTGCTCATCCTCCAGAGAGGCAAAGTGGGGGTAAATATTCTGCTTTACAATCATTAGTTCAAGTCAGCTATATGGATGAGTCAACTGGCATGCCAGGCAGCAGGATGACAATGTTAGGCATTTCTTAAGTCTTCAAACCTAAAAAACAGGTTTGATTGTTAAAGTCAATGTTACGACATATATAATTTTCTTGCTTCAAAACTTGTTAGAGAGCACAACTGCTTTGACCTTGAGCCTTGCACAGCCTTTTTAACAGCACTCTAATTTTAAAGGGAGTTTGTCCAAGACCAGCACTACTCCCCTCCTCTCAGAGATCAAGTTGTCCAGTCTATGCACTATCTAAGCTCCAAAGATGCACAATGGACTTCTCTGCAAAGGGCCAGCAATTTGGCAAAAGGCCCTGCTAGAATACAAAAGAAAACCCCAAAACCCTATGCAAGACTCAAGAGATTAAATGCAAGTTGACTTCAGAGCATCCTATGACAAAGGCCTCTCATCAGGAACCTAAGAGTACACTATACTCAAACTTGTCCCATGTACTGATGGAAGGCTACTAGATATTATTCAGCCTGGAGAAGAGAAGGCTGTGGGGAGACCTGATTGCGGCCTTTCAGTACTTAAAGGGAGCCTATAGGAAAGATGGGGAAAATCTTTTCAGTAGGGACAGCTGTGACAGGACAAGGGGTAATGGCTTTAAACTAAACCAGGGTAGGTTTAGGCTGGATATAAGGAAGCAACTCTTTACAATGAGGGTGGTGAAACACTGGAATGGGTTGCCCGGAGAGGCAGTGGAGGCCCCATCCCTGGAAACATTCAAGGCCAGGTTGGACGGGGCTCTGAGCAACCTGATCTAGTTAGCAGTCTCACTGCAGGGGGGTTGGACTAGATGACCTCTAGGGCTCCCTTCCAACCCAAAACATTCTATGATTCTATGATATTACAAGGATGATGCCATCTAAAATAACAAATTATTAGCTACAGACAGGAGCTAGTCACCTGTTCACCATCCAGCTCCTCAGAACAAAGCTTTGGAAGCCAGCACAAGCTTCTCCCTAGCCTCTACAGATACAGAGAGCCAACTCATTTAAGTTTTAAAAAAATAAGAGTTAAGAAAAAAAAAAAAGGTCTGGCTTTAAGTTTTATGACTTCTTTTCTGATGTTCTCTGATATATGTGTAATAGAAAATCCATTTTAAGTTAACCAGATTTTAGGATACATGCTGGGTCCTAGCTGGACCAAGATTCCGTAAGCACACTGCTGAAGCAAAAGTGTAATCTGACAAAATCCTCTGCCCAGAAAGCGGCATCCTGAAGTGTTATACAAACATAGCTTTCAAAAGCAAAATGCAACAAATAGTGCTTGGTAGTTTTTCCATTTATGGTTGATTTTTGTCAAACAACTTCCTTAACAAGGAGCTGTAATATTTAAATTAAAATGAACTTAAATTCTAAGATGCCCATTGTTTTATTTCCCTGTAAAATCAAAAAAGTTCTCCTTGGTACACAGCCAAGCTAGATAACATTTACCTCAAAACCATCAGAATTTACAAAAGATGTGCAGAACAGATGCTTCTGCCTGCCAGCATCAGAAGTACCAAGCGCTGGTCCCCGTTGGCTTTGTTCGCCTTCTTCACCCTGACCACCACTGTGTTCTGGACTGCACAGTCTGGCAGGCCCAGGGGGCTCAGTGAAAAGGATACATGTTTCTTCATACACCTGGACAGTTGCCAAATCACCTTCCAGTCGGATAATCTCCCCCACCAGTTCACTGTGGCCCACTCGTACCAGCTCGTACATAGCAGCACCCGCCATGTTGCACGCCGTGACCACTGTAGGAGACAGACACATAGGTGAGTATTTTTCCCATAGCTCAGGAAATTTACTCATCAGAAGTTAACAAGGACTGCACAGCATAAGCCTGGTATTCACCCAAATCAGAAGCACATTCCTGATTTCACAAAAGGCATAACTTGGCTGCCACAAATCCTAAAGTTTCTAGTTTAAAAGCCAAAAGAAAACGTTTCCCTATACTCTTCACACTGTTCCTTTATGCTCAATAAGAGGACACTATCAGAATGTAGTAGTTCACAGACAATTCATGCCATAATTTCTCTTATCTGTCTTGACAGGTGGCGAATGTTTAGCATTTTAGAGACGCAGCGACCTTTGACAGCCACCTTACATAGTTAAGGCATTGGCAGTTAAAGAACAGGCATTTATTTAGGTAGACACAAGCCAAGGGAGTTTCTCATTCATCAAATGACAATACATGCTATTCTTCTGTTCTCACATTCCCATCCTTTCCTTCGTCTCTTGAAGAGAATGCAGGAGGGAACAGAAAGGCCGGTAGAGCCTCCATGTATTCAAAAGCTGTTATCATCAGAGACTAAAGAAACTATTTAAGATGCTAAAGAAGGAGGAAGGGTCTTCCTCCTCCTCCTAGTTGCACTACCACCACACTCTGCCACCTTCCCTGATGCTTGCAGCTCCTTGCTGAGCTCTTCCAGCCCACGGTGCAGTAACACAGAACAGCTTGACACTGGCAGGGGACAGAGTATTCTGGAGAGCACAGACTCAAACTGCTTTTCAGTGAGAATGGACTATACCTCTCATGGCCTTTTAGAGAAGCTTAATACACCGGGCCTGCAGATTTCTGACCAAGTGGCTTTATCTCATCCAGAATGTTTACTATCTTTTGGGCTTTTAAAATTATTATTCAGCCCTCTTCTGCTCATTACAACTATAAATAAGATCAATTAGCAGTAACATCTTGTTAGTGTATTTCTTAGTCTGATAAAATATTAAGTCAGTGATCCTTCTTAAAAAGCCTCCCCCAAAAAAAGAAAGAGAAAAAGCCCCACCCAGAGCTAAACTATACCTCTCTACTTCGCTTCCAAGTTCACCACCAAGTGAACAAGATTAATAAGACACTACATGAAACTGAATCTATTATTTCCTTTACAAAATAATACTTACCAGGTCCCGAGACTCCATGGACATAGCCAACAAAAGCTTCTCTGTCCTCATCACGGATTTTGGGTAGCTTGGAGAAGTCCATTTTGCCTGTTCAACTGTACAGAAGGAAAACCGAAAAGAGTCAGTTCTGAAGAATACACACACATAGTAAGTTCCTCTTCTTCCTCCTCTCTGCTTTCTCTTCGTTTCCAGTTAGAAAGAATTCTGAACTCATACAGCCTGAAGCACGTTAACCACACAGATTTTAAAGCTATAAAAGTTATGAAGTAACTCTCTTAAACAAAAGAACTAATATCCCCTATTGCAGAAACACAGGGGTGGAACATCACTGCATAATATGCCCCCCCCCAAACACCGCTGAGTGAAACAGTTGCACTCCAAAAATGCCACAACACCGCTGGACTATTTTCAAGCCCAATAACAGGATACTTAAACAACAGAATCTCTTCTGCCTTCCACATCTCATCTAGCCTCCTTCAAAACATGGAGTTTTCCATGATTCTGAGCAAGCAAGGGAATGCTCTGGGGCTGCTTTAGTGCCACCAGTCTCTAAAAGGCAATGCTACAAATATTAATTGTGAAAATTCTATTTTTGCTATCTCAAGCTTCTGAACCAGAGCATTCAGAGGAAGAAACACACATTTTTCACAAACACCATCATGCAAACGTGTGAGTCTTCTCTATATGCCTCCCAGCTAGGTATTATGCAGTCTTGCTCTTGGTGAAACCCATGGAGCATTATAGAAGAACTGTGCTGAATAATGGCCAAAAAACTCAACTTGCAACAGTTAAAACACTGACATCTCTTGCCAGTAACTGTCCAGAGAATCTAAATAACTGGTACAGGAAAAGCTGGTTTAGAAACAGACCCCCTTGATCCACATTTGTCCTGTAACTGGCGGTTGGGCTGTCCTGCTTCTGGTGCTGATAAGAGTATTTAATGGTTTTGCTTTGTCAGCCCTTATCACACTTTGCGTTACCTTGGAAACGGATCAGCGTCAGAGAACCGTAAGCCAACTCTCTACCCATTTTTACTGTATTGACATATTTATGATACAGGACTGGTGAAAGGTGTGGTATGGCAATCCCAGCATACAATGGATGCTCTCTGCATACCAACAGGGCCTATCCAGCAAAAACCCATGGTTCGGTGATATGAACTGTGCGAGGCATCTGTCGACACTCACAGTCCTTGCGAGAAGCTTAACCTAACCTGGCACCATCTGCAGACGCATACTCAGGCTTGAAAGCCTGCCCTGTGTATGATGAGGAAGGCCACTACATGCCCATCCCTTCCACCATCACTAAAGGATGATTTTCTGCTTGTTCTTCAGGAGCAGCAGGTAGCTGACATCTGCTATTCTTAAAATCTTACGACTGTTTCCCAGCTTTTTTAATGCTATACTACAAATCCTCTGCCCCTCAGCCTCTTTACCGGTCTAAATGTTTTAAAGCAGTGGCTCTGCTCTGTAAGAAAAGGATCTCCAATCATTCCAAACTCTTATTCATCCCGAAGGAGTAGCTTCTTCCAGGCTCCATGTCTTGCTGGAATGGATTGTGTAACGCGGCTACCACTGATTCATTTCACAACAGCCACCCCAACAGTTGATCATGACTCAGTCACCACCAGCCTGGAGTGGAAGTGCTAACTGCTCTCGAGCTCAAAGGCCCAGTCAGATATCTGCTAGACCCCTCTACTCTCCATAATGATAGTTTATCCTTTAAGCTCCCTGTTGCTTAGGCTCAGAAGATAATTTTAATTTCACTGCTTATTTCTCAAAAGTCTCCTCTGACAAACGGCAGAGGGGAGGTCCTCGCAAAGCAGTCTGCAGTTCCTGAGCAGCTGGTAAGAGCTGGTTCTGATCAGACTAACATAACTACCTCATTTTTTTAATTTATTTTTTTTTTTTTGCTTTTGACAATTAAAACCATTGCAAAACTCAAGCACAATTACTGTTCATACTGAAAAAAGCAGCTGGTTTTATAAACCCACCCAAAAGCATTTACTTCAACATACTGTGATACAGAACAGTCTCTAGAGTCCTACTACCAAAATCTTCTATAGAAGCACAATAAAGAAAGAGCTAAACCAAATTCTCATAGCTGAATTAGTGACACCATTCGGCAATTAGACAGTACAGGGTTCCATACAAAAGAGACAATTTACAAAGGCAAGGAAAAGCAGAAAGAACACTGTCCAGTTTCAATTTAACTTTTAATTAATTAATATATCCAAAACCTGCAGGTCAATTGACCACCACTTGAAGCAACAGTTTATCTTTTAGGGATGCAAGTAAGAACCTCAGAACAGTCATTCCACAGTTAAAACGGCATCCTGACACACAGCACCTGCCCTGTGGCTGCTCTGCTCCCTCTCTCTTCCTACAGCCACCTTCCCCACTTACCAGCCAAGCCAAGTAGGAGGCAACAGGATTCCTCTGCTAGACCACCTAGCAACACATCAATAAACCTATCTTTGTCCTGGTCTTTGGCATCTGCACCAATTGCTTTTAAACACATATCTATTAAATATTCCAATTGTAAAAGATGCAGTGAATTCCACCTCACCTTTCTTTGTTGCATCTCCTATACACCTCCAAACAAAGTACACACAGTCGAAAAAAAGTATTCACCCAGCCAAGCTGACCTCTGTTTTAAGGAGCTACATACCTTTTAATAGTGAATACAAATTAAGAAAAAAAAAAAACCTGTTATTTGTCTCTGCATAGCTGTCTTGTGCTTGTGTATTAGCATTACAGATTTTCATTTTAGATGGAAAAGTCCTTGAGGGCAGAGACGTTGCCTTACCTACCTACACTGTTAAATGTGTTCATTATTAGTACTCAGATAAAACGAAATTCCTTAAAGCACGTCAGAATTTGCTAAACATAACATTATGCGTGTGCAGGCAGCATGTACTTACCCCAGAAGCCATGGTAGCTAGCCATTTTACAAATCTACTGAGTTCCTACAGCTTTTCATAGGCCTCTCGCCAACACAGGTTATTAGGCACTACATGCCATCCGCTCCTACAAAGCCGACTGGCACACCTACACAGGGTGTTAGCTTAGTTTTAATTGCCTTATGAGCAAAGATGCACCTCATATCCTTTACAACTTACAAACAGGAATCTTCTTCATCTTAAGCAGTTCAACAATTCATTTTAAACGTGCTCTTAAGCTCTAATGTGGTCATATTCTGCCTAACAGTGCCAGAAATATTACTTGCTGCAGAACCATCTCTGACTGAAAGGTGATTTATTAAAGTAATTTTATAGTCATAATTAAACAAGAAAGGGCCAATGACCTGAGTTTTCTATCTTCATTTCTACCCAGCACACAGTAGCCCCCAAAATGTACCTATCCTGCTCTCAATGCCAGATAAACCCATTTTCAACTACAGATCCTTGATTTTGCTTCGAACATTTGATCAGTCCCTCAATTTACACAATGAACTACCTTACCACAAAGGTCTCTTCAAAATTCAGACTCCAGTGAGATTTTTAGAAGGAGCCTTCTTACAGCAAGGATGAAAACCCACGACTATTTTACCATATAAACACAGATTCTTACCTTATTTTGCAGAAACAGGGAGTAACAAAAATCCACAGGCCCCACGAAGCAAAGCCAGAATTCAGCAGTTAAGCACCGCCGCTTACGAAATAATTGTCCTTCTAGTGCCCCTACACAGAGGGATGAGAAAGCCTGCTGCAGAGGGGAAAGAAATTTCTGACACACAGCAGAGGCACAACCACCTGACTTGATGAG